CTAGCCTTTATTCACTAGAAACTTTAGATGAAAACATTTTTTTGATATGAAAATAGTCATTATTTTGAGTTCCGTTCTTCTTCTTCCAAAAATGCAATTTTATAATTTTCAATTTTATTTTCGTCATTCATAAAATGCACATTTTCTTGCAAATTTTACAAGTAAATGCTTTTTCTCGAATTTCTGCACGAAAGAAGAACCGGAAATGAACTGTAAAGTTTCGTTTGTTTTCCTTTAAATAAATACGCTTACCGAAATACCACCGGCTCAAAATTTTCATCAATCACACGAAAAGAAATACTTCAAAAAATTCTCACTTTTTACTTCTCATCGAAATTCATGGAAAAGCGCACTTTCTGGATGTATTTAGCATTCCACTGGAAGCTGCCGTGAGCAGAATACATACTCATCCAGTATTAATGGATGAGGATTGAAACAAAGTTTCTGTCCTCCCGAGAGCTCCATGAATATTTTGAGGCCAGCTGACCTCAAAGGATGGCAACATCTGCTACTGTAGCCTTTTGCAATGACGCATTTTTGCAGAAATATTTTCGTTGAACTAGGTAGTTGAGGTCCAAAAAATCAATTTATAGTTTTCCTTTTTTGTGTGATAAATAATAATCCCTTAATTATGGGATAAGTAAATCTAAAAGTGTGCTCTTTTGCTTTTATTGACATTTCATTGAAATTACTGACATTTTATTGTCACTTGACAATGTAAACTGTTTTTATACCAGTCGACGCGCTAGCCCGACATTTAGCTTGTTTTCAAGCAATTATCTGAACAGTTTGTCGATTGTCAGCAATATTACGACAATCAATTTTTTCTTTAGCACGATATTTCCCCTAAGTAATCTTGCCTTTTCGCCATTAATGTCAGATCGTTAAGCCCTTGCAATAGTTAGTGTTCCTCTATTCCTTTCCCTCTTCCGGCGACTTTTCAGCCCACAATTTGCTTGAGATACATAGAATTCTGTAAATTATAAATTGAGTGTGTTAATGATTTTGTTTTGCGACGTGAGAACAACGTAGGACCCCGCTTCGTAAGCGAAAAAATATGCTTTTTTCTGGTAGATGCTAAAATCTAAATTAGAGATTTTGTACAGTACCGTACTCGATTTGAGACTACCGTACTCGATTTGAGATTAGGGTACTGGGCGAAAGTTTCAATCTGAATTTCTCGGCCACGAAAGGATCATGCAAGTTGCCGCTTTGGCAGTGGCTTAGTCAATTTGTCAAAATCAGTATCCTCATAAGAAATTTAAGTATTCAAATTTTTCCAGAAACTGCCTAAAAAGAGTTCTGACGTGTACATCTGACGTGAGACAGCTACCGTAGCTGATGTTGCGTGCCAGAAAGTTTTTATAGCAAAGAAAGAAGCACGAAACTCTTAATTTTTATCTAAGCTTGTTTGGAATGCAAAAGCTTTTCGAAATTTCCCTTCCCGACGAGTCATCGGCTGCGACACACACATACATATGTATGTTGCTGTGGCGGTTCTCAAAATTCTCTCTGGAGAAGTCCCACATTTTCTTGCGAGAGAAGAGATTATTTTTGATGAGATCTCAAGCAACTCTCTCTCCCCCTCAATTTATTGAGGGGTTTTGAATTTTTAGCGAGCTAATAACCTCAAAATATTGAGTAAAAAGCTGCCTCAAATATAAATAAAGAGTTACTAAAATTAGATCGAAATGACCAAAGTAATAAATTTAAAGCTACTATGAAACTCCCATAGGGTTCATACTATGTTTTTTGCCATTTACATATGAAATAAAATCTAAGCATAGTTGTTTACATTCGCACCACTTTCAACGTTTTATAATTCCCCGCCACCTGCTTTTCTCATTAGTATATATACAGACATGTATGTATGCATGCACGTAGCTATTATAACTTCATGCCAAACAAGAAACATGTGACTTTCTATTGTTATTTGCATTTTATCACTTTTGATAGATAAATGGTGCGCAACGAAAATTGATTGCCTCTATATTTATTCTCATTGTCGTTGACATGAGGCCGAGGCTTTGGTTGTTATATGTTTATATCTAACGTATTTGACGTGGATCAGATCAGATTAGTAGATCAGAATGCAATCTTACTATTTTCATTGTTTTTTATATCTATAGGGCTTATCAAATTGAGTGTCGTTTGCATCAGCATCTCCATCTTCGCGCTGGGCTCTGCGTCTCTTCTACGGTACATGCACCCTAATCACTTCCAATCGATTGATGCTCCGCCTTTCCCACGCTCGCCCTGGGAAAGTGCTCAGAGAGCAGCCCAGCGGAAGAGACGCAGAGTCCAGCGCGAAGATGGAGATGCCGGTGCAAACGACACTCAATTTGATAAGCCCTATATGTTTGCCTTTCGCTTAACCATTCGGGCTAACAAGGAAAGGATCCTTGGTGACCCCTTTGCATCTTGAAGCGCGGATTCCAAATCTGCTTTCAGTATCTGCTGTGCGCTCTTCCGAAAGAACATACGAACATTTCTTGCCACAAAAATTTGCACTATTGTAAGACGGGATTCACCAATATCGTTGGAGAGTTTACTTACGCACTGCAAGAGAGCGTCCAAATAAAATAAAGCTTTAAGTGGAGCTAAGGAAAACTGTCTCCGATATATTCGAGTCTAAAAAGCTACTGACGATTCTACTGGCTAGATTTCGAGAAATTATTGTGGAAGAAAGTCCATAAGTTCATTCAGAGAGTCCAACAGCAGAAGATAATGAGCATAGATTTGGAATCAGAGTTCAAGGTGCATCTACGCACTAAACGGTCACGGTCACCAAGTATCTTTCCCTTGTAAGTAAAAATTGTTGCGACACAATGCCTCAAAAATTCCGCAGACGTGATAATGGTACGGTTCATAAATGCCGAAAATATTGTCATCATGTGTTTTGCTTTGGTTCAAAAAGATTAATATACAAAAGGAGAATTTCAGCGTTCTCATTGCCAGAATGGTTTTAGATTACAGAATCATTGCTTAAAAATTACAGCATAAGCCAAACAGAGATTATTTACTAGTATAGTATTGAATCAGCACCTTATCATATCCTTTTACCTTTTGCATTCGTATAGTGCTTAAGATACTTTCGTGATTCAAAATTAACCAAAATGCTTAAGGAAGGGAATCTCGTAACTCGCTAAATAATCTCACCTAATTTTCAACCATTGTAATTTTCATAACGTGAATACCATGTCCAGAACTTTGGAATTAATCGTCGTCTATAACAAAGTTTTGAGACTGTACGGATGAGCGAAATTAAGGCCGTCAATTTTTCCAAATAATCCACAAGAAAAGAAAACGTTAAATTTCTACTAAATGCAAAACTGTTCTCTCATCTTTTCGTTTTCGAATTGTTTCTTCCAGCGCTTATCTAAGAGAAGAAAAAAACCAAAGGTTTTTTATTTTTGACCTCTACAACATCCTTATAAAGTGTGTTTTGGTGAAGACAGAGTTTAAATCGTCGCAGTATCTGAAGGATAGATGCCAAAATTTTCAAATAAATTAGTTGTTCTAATAGGCTTAGTTGACCCGAAATCTGACCTCGGCTTTCAAACGGTTTCTACATCTCAACGTTGTGTTGCGCTATGCCGGCGTCGTGCCAGCGTCGTGCCAGCAGCGTGCCACGACGCACGATGCGGAAGTTGGAGCAAACAAAGGGGACACGTCCACGTGTGTGTTACGACGCGGCTCTGCCACACGCTGGCACATCACTGGCACGAATAACCATAAAACGCACCCTGGGTAGTGTTGAAAGCATTCATTTTGAACATATGGCTTATGAAATTTTGACATCAAGCAAATTTTGTCAATCAACTCCTGGACGAATTCACATGCATATCTTTTTGACATGGAACATACAGATCTGGTAATCATTGACAGCTCACACTAAGGAAAACTCGTCCGAATAATCCGAATTTTGGTTATCCATAAAACTTTGCCTACATATACGTTTGATCTTTATCTTGTTCGCTTGCTGGTCATCGGAATTACATCCGCAAAACAACTGATCCATCCAAGCGTGACGAGAGCATAAGTCAATTCTTCATTTCCGGATATTGCATCTCTTTCATCTCATTCTTTTTTCTGGAAACAGAACAAAGCAGAGGAAATTCCTTATTTCTTTAATTGAATCACAGTATGGGGTGAACCGGAAAATTTGCTAAAATGCTTGCAAAAAGCTGAAAATAAGATTAGTGATAGTATAAAATATATGAATGCATGTGAAATTTAGCAAAAAATTTTATTTTCAAGTGTTTGGGTTTCACTCCCTTTTTCCGCAATGAAGTTCTTTAAACTTTCAAGAGCGGTGGACAAAAATGGAATGGCTTCACCTAGACACTTCACCGGAACTTCCGCAAGACAAGCGAATTTTGCAGCGATTCCGCAGGACTTTGTTTACTATTATGAAGGTGGAAACTTTAAAAAAGGGAACTTCCGCAGGTGACCCGGCGGAACTTTCCCAAGCGTTCTGCGGAAGTTCTGGTCAGTTGTCTGAGCATATGCTTTTAAATATTCTCAGACAATCGCAATTGACTTCCGGGGCAAGATGAATATCTAAAACTTCCGGGGAGCTGCCAGGTAGGTCGGGGTCAGGTAGGGCGGGGCCACCCACACTGCCCAGTAGGAGCGTCTCCCGGAAGTTCTAGACATTCAGTTTGCCCCGGAAGTCATTTGCGATTGTCTGAGTTTTTTTTGAGATTCTCTTCAAAAACTCTCTTCAAAAAAGTTAAAAAGAAGGTCACAAGGCAAGTTTGTTATGTTTTTCAAGCCATTTGTAGTAACGATCATATAGGGCAAAACATATTTGAGACCTTGGCTGTTAGCCAAGTCTCATATTTCTTTACGGCCGTCAGCGCTTAATGACTACACTTTGCTCAACAAAAACGCTCGTTACATATTGGAATTGATGCCTGTCTCCGGTCCAGCCTAATGATGTATACATGTTTGGTTGTTCTCTTCGGGACCACTTTTTTCAAATCTATCTTTTTTAGCGCTAAGGAACATCACAAAGCCAGACTACTTACTCGAACTCTACAACGTAATCGTCCGGCTACAGTACACGCTAAAGTAACGCACGAAGTACCAATGGTAGGTCCCACAAATAAAAGATTACGGTAGAGCAATTGTACAGCTGTTTATAGGTGAATATAACGACTTTATCTAGTCCAACGAGCAGCAGTTATTCAGAACGGCGAAGCCCACAGGATTCTAGCAATGAGGTAAGTAAGATTCATTTATTCCAAGCCGATATAGTGAAATAAATGCGTTCTCGATTATTTTTACTTCTGGTCAGATCATCAACCATTTATTTTGTAGCTTCATGGGAGTGCTCCTAAGTTTCTCAGAAAGCATACGCTGTGCCTAGGTAATTATTATTCCCGGCAATTCTGCTTACAACCCTGTTATCTCTGATTCTGGAAGAAGGTGGCACTGTTACCCAAAAAAGGTAATACACGATCCTGTTCCTTATATTAGAGGTGTATTAAAGTGATCTAATCGAAATGTGAATTTATTTCCGTATGTGATTGATTTGATGTCCAAATATATTTTACTTCGTAGTCCCAATTCGAAAATTCCAGCCGAAATTCAAATTTCTTGTTGTATTTAAAGTTACCGTAGGCTCAAACTAGCCTCTAGCTACTGCCTCAAGTATAAACTTAACAGAACATATTAGGTTGATCACAATTCTTGCATCAAAAAATAATGGAAAGAAATTGTTTTAAAAATTCTCAAACAGACTAATCAATTTAATATGCTTATTGTTATTTATATCAAAAGTATTATATGGTACTTTTTAAGAAAACCAATATGAAACAAAATCGAAAAGTCAATTTTGAAAAAATTGGAATTCGTAATTTCCAGAGACATGCAATCACTACCAGCTCTCTTTGTTGAAAAGAATGTGTCATAAAACTAATCGTAAGATCAAAAATAAATTCAAATTTTAGTAGGCGTTTTAGCAATCTTAGTGACCAAAAATCGAAAAACACTTTTTGGGTATTTCTCTTAATCTTGTATCGTTGCTATGTGCCCCCAAAGAATTTTGACTTTCGCACCATCAGAAGGCGCAAGTTTTTCTTTCTCTATTATGTTTCAAGCCAGAAATTTCATTGAAGCTGGATGAAGTAACAGATAGAAAAATTTTTATTTTTTATTTCTTCCTTTTTATTTCTCAGATTTCAAAAATTTTGGCGCAAGAATTGTGCATCAACTTAATGCTTTCCGCCCATGAGTCGCCCGAATTTTGCTCAAAAATTGTAGACAATGGTATTTCTTTGTTATAAAATATGGGGCTGGCAGTATATGAGCTTTGTGAAAATCACCAGAAATACATAGAGTTTTTGCATCACTTGTGCAGCTCACGAAACCCTTGAATTATCGAAGACATGAATGAACGTCTTCACCATTCATCTCCAGTGGGTATAGGCAGCAATAAAATAGCCCTGTTATTATGTGCGACTCTACCTTTCCTTGTGTTTACGATTTGTGAAGTAGCTTCTTCTTTCTATTCATAAAAAAAAGTTTGGTCGCAAATATACAGAGTGTCCCAAAAGTATGTATGCATTGTTTGATCGTTAACATCTCTCTTCCCAAGAAGCCTTTTGCCACTTTAGGTACTGTTTTGTAGAGCAGGCTTCAACTTAGATTTACAATATAGAGCGAATCAGCGATCACTCACTGTTACTGTAGGATTACGGTAGAAACTTGAAACATATGGTGTCAATGTGGAAAAAGCTGTCGTTTCAAAATTTTTCAAAAAAATGTGAAAACTTATGTAATAGGGTTATTATGGACGCTGAGTTCAATACTCAACTGTTCACAAGATTGCGAAGCTTTCTAAACGGTGTAACCGCACTTTTTAGGAACATTGAAAAAATGGCCGCTGCTGCTTACCTGGCATAAATCTCGAATAAAGCATCATAATAAGCTGGGAACTTTACAATCAGAATCAGCGACTCTAATTAACCTGATGTGAAAGTCTTCAGGCTGTTTTGTTTCCTTGCTGAGGCAAAATGTGGCCTTTCATGGCTCAAAACCCTCTTTGAAGTTTCTACCGTAATCCTACAGTAATCAAGAGAGATGGGTGAATCGTTCTTCACTGCCAATCTAAGTTGAAGCCAGCTCTACAAAACGGTACCTGAAGCAAGGCAAAAGACTTCTTGGGAAGAGAGATATTAACGACCAAACAGTGCATACATACTTTTGGTACACCCTGTATGTCTGACTGGGAGTCCTATCCATTCACATTATTTGTTTGCTAGATACAAAAAGATATGAGATGATGACAAAGATGTTTCGGAGAATGCAATTGATAAGATCATACTATATCAATGCCATATATTGTACCAAATTCTTGAAGAAGTTAAAAGAAGACACAGTGTTTTCGTAAGCTCTAGAAAAGACTTAAACTCTTGAATTATGTAAGTTTAATCCATAAACATTTACAGAAAATTATTGTGAATGCTCGTATGGAAGATGTACAGTACCTCCAACTAGAAATTACTTCAACATTCATCTTGATTACTATTCTAAATATAGTCAGATTAGTGTGCGAACTGCGCTTCTAAAAGGCGTGATCCAAAGCAAGACATGGAGCTTTACACTTTAGTAGTTGATATTCTTTCTTTTGATTGTGATTTTTGACTGCGTTTGCTCATAGAAACCTACTGCTCATTTTGTGAGCAATTCGATAGTCATCTTTATTCGGAAATATGCTTATCTATGAAAATTATTGATTATTTTTCGAAAACTTCGACTGCTAATTTTTGATCTTTTCGATCATATTCTACCTGAAATTGCTTTAAAAGATAAGTAAATAAGCACACTGATCATAATGAAGAAGCAGTTACCAAAATTAGCGATTGTTTTTTTGAATAATTATCAATTATTTTGTAATTGCCTTCTCGATGTACTTGAATTGATGTAGGAGCTAGCCCGATTCAAAGGCAACACTCAGCCGGTTTCCACTTTCAACCCAGCCGCCTGATGTCTTAAGAGCCGGGCATACTCCACGCGATCTCAGTCGCGACGCGATTTGGCAATTCGCCAGAAGTCTTCAGATCCAACACTAGCAAACTGTACATGCAAAGTGTGTATAACTTACGGGAATTGATGAAATGCCCCATCTTTTATACATTTGAAATGTGCTTGCAATGAGTTATGGACAGTTGGAACACTGCCAAATCGCGTCGCGACTGAAATCGCGTGAAGTATGCCCGGCCCTTTACAAGGAAACAATACTTGGTGACCCCAGCCATTTGGTATGCGAGGTATACCATAAGGTGCATCTCGAAACGCTGATTCTAAATCTGTGCTTAAAATCTGCGAAACGATCACATGAAGGCAGTTATGAACTTTCTTTTCAAAATTTGCGCACTTTTAGGTAGTTAAAATCACCGAATTTAATCTATTTTATCGTTTGAAGCTACTGAGGAAAATCTTGAAAGGTGTACGTTGTATTTACACCTATCTAAATCATATTTAGCATTTGAAGAAAAAAGAAGAATTCTTATTAATGATTTTCACCTTCCGCAGTATGGCCATTCATTCCTGAAAAATTAATTATAATTCCATCCAGGTTATCGTTTCGCAGATATGGAAAACAGTATTCGAACCAGCATCAGAAGGAGCATTTTTTGATATTGAAACCGAATGGCCGGGGTCATCAAGTATCTTCCCTTGCTTAGATATAGAAATTCACTGGGGCCTCGTACAAGCCATTACCCAAGCAGCAGCTTATATGCTTTCTAAAAATTGATCTTTACCGTAATTACCGGAGCTGATATTCCTTCGGCGACAGTACGGTCTGGGCAAGGTTCGAAGTTGAATTTTTTTTACCAAGAGTTACATGAGCTGAATTTTTGGCTTGCCTTGGCTAAGAACTTCTGAGCACTCATACTAGAGGTACACGCGCTCATTTGTTCGGACACTGCCTCCGAGATGGGGAATATAGACAAAATTACAGGGTGGTATAGACTTGGCGCTTTTATTTTTCATTTTTCCCTGTATTATCGAAGCAATTATGATAGCGTAATATGGAATTCTGCAAATGCCATCCATCAGATTTATTTCTAATTCTAATTACTTTAGAGCAACTTTTTTTCGCGGCACGTGGGCTGTTAATTGAACAAAATGGCAATTTTGCGAGTAACTAGCAAGGGCTCAGCAAAACCTAGTGTGCTAGCTAATTTTGGTTAGACTACTAATTACTTGCGCCGGGGTAATGGAAGAAAACTCATGCGCTCCAACTTTTGGTTTTTGGTGGTGACGACACAGTCCCGCAAAATTTCTTCCAGTTATAACTTAAGAAAATGCGTTTTGTACTCAAAAAATTTTTTGTTTTACTTTTTTTGCTTTACTCTCCATCGATTTGACTCTTTCTTATTGTTAAATTGTAAATAGCTTTTATGAATAACGAGTAGCTTCTCACAGGGATTTTTTGCGGGGAGTGGCTACCGGCTGTTTTTTAGAACCCATGGTTCCAAAAGCTTGCTGGAAATCTGAGAAACATCAGAATGACTTTTTCCAGACAAAGGATTAGATCAAGAACTTTATCTGACAATGAGAACAGCTTTACGTCTCTCCTGCTCCAATTTAGCGAGACGAAAAGATTTAATTTTTGCAAATTGTGAATATTTCCTTTTTAAAGATGTAAAAAATCACGTCTAAAATAAGAACAACGCGCACAGACAAAGTTTTTTTTAGAATTTCAATATCATTTCAAAGTTTATTTTCTAGTTTTGCTGAAGAATAAGAATTTTGAAAAAGTATTTGTAGCAATTTGATGGCAATTTTTGTCCATAAAAAGCTCTTGTGTATAATCAAACTTTTTCGCTACAGTTCTAATTTAACATAAGATTGAAACTCATAGTAGCTGTGTTCTGCGGTTGTGCTTTATTTACCCCCCCCCCTCCCTTCTCTTATTAGTGTTGTCAAAGTGCACTGTCATATGCCCATGATAAATTTTGTATACCACTACCCTATCAGAAGAAGAGACTTGCCCAGTGGTATTATATTGGACGTAGTGAGTTTCCAATACTATTGCATCGCAACATGTTGAGCAGTGTTCAGAAAAATCTTGGTCCGTGGCTTATGCGGGAACTGATTATAGAGTCCCAGCCAAGCCATTGCTCCGACGGCTCGCATTTTTGACCAAAAATATAACTTTAAATATCATTCATTCTCTGACTAAGAGACACGAGCACGCTTTGCGTACGTCTGATCAACAAGTTCAAGGGCGAGTTTTGACATGTTTTGGTAAATTACTAGTAAAATCTATGAAAGACCATGTTCAAATCGTGTTGTTCAACAAACCTAAACATGTTTTCCACGAATTTTTCTATACTAGTTTACCAAAACGCGTTGAAACGCATACATGAACTTGTTAAGAAAACGTAAAGCGTGCCGTGCCTATTTAGTCAGAGAGTGAATGATACTTTATATGCAATGGGCTATCCTGAAAATTTGATTACTTACAACTCAGGCGAAGGCGCCAAAAATACTGAAATCTTCGAACTTGCAACTATTTTCTTTCTAGAAGAATTTCTAGAAAGTTTTTTTTGTAAAAATTAAGCATTAATAACTATGATTACACAATCATTTTCATCAGAATTCGGATTCGGTGAAAGAGAGTGTCTCGGAAGAAAAAATCAAGTTGTGCATCCTCAAAAATAATTTTGTCCTCAGTTTATCACTATGCTTTATTGAGCTTAGGCTATGAATTACCAATGCCAGCAGAGTTAATAGAGACCCAAATGCTGAGTTTTTTTCTATATTCCAGATCATTGAATTATTATAAATTGGCTCAAACTAACCAACGAACCTGGCCCAAGACCCGGTCTGAGTTCGTTTCTAGGCTTCTTAAAAATAATTTCATCCTTGACTTTCGCGAAATTCTACGAAGTCCCCTTTGGCCCTTGGTCCTAAACGTAAAAAACCCTCAAAAAATGAAACGTCGATAAAGAAACGTTGCAATTTTGGGCTACAAAAACGAAGTCCAGCCTGCTTCCATGATCTGCGCCGAGCCCTGACCTAGCCCCGCCTAGCCCTCTCAATAATATAATTCTAATCAGCATGCTCACTTACCCCATGTGCCAACCCCAGACAGAACCATAATTCAAGTCTTGCAAAAAATTGATAAAATCGATATAGATCGATAACGAAAAGTAGCCTACGACACCGGCCCGCCCCGAAGTGTTATGTTTATGTATGTGCTCGAAGTTTGGTCTGAATCGGTTCTGATATAAATTTCTATTCGGAACTACTTCCAAACAGATAGCACACACATACATGCAAACATTCAACTTTATTAAAAAGAATTCATAGTATTCTCTTGTCGAAGCAATTAGTCTTTGAAGGAGACAGATAGTAATATAGTAAGAGTTGTCACATTAAGTCTAAAATGTTTCTTTTTTTTGCAATTTACGACTTATTGTTTAATGGCATAGCTGGTTGTAATTGTGTTTTTCATGAGCGCTGAAGTCAGCTGAATAGCTCTTACAATTGTTCGCCGTGCATGTGATTTAGTCGAAATGGTGCCTCAAAACTTATCAGTATCTTTTCTGAAATTATACAGGGTGTCCCAAAAAAAAAATGTCAACACTGTTTGATCGTTAATAACTCCCTTGTTTTCATGTCTTTCGGCGAGCCTAAGGCACCATTCTGTAGAGCGAGGTTCAACTTAGATTTACAGTTCGGATCGAATCACCGTTCGCTCTTCGTTACTGTAGGATTACGGTAAGAAATTCCAGCATGTGGAACCGTCGTGAAATATGCCCTCTGACAAAATTTTTTTTCAAATCTGAAAAATCGTATACTAGGGTTTTCGCGCACGCTGATTTTACTACACAACTTTTTACGAGTGTTTTCAGCTTTTTTGACGGTGTAATCACATTTTTGACACATGCTGGAAAGTCAGTTATTACATTTTACTTAGGATAACTTTGAAAAAAAGAATCATAATAAAATGGAAATTTCATATCCACAATCAGCGGCTTTCATTAACATAGTACAAGAGATTTTGGCTTGTTTGGCTCTGTTTCGAAGCAGAAAATGGCCTTTAATGGCCTAAAATCCTTGTCAAATTTCCTACCGTAATCCTACAGTAATGAAGAGCGATCGACGATTCGCTCCATACTGTGGATCTAAGTTTGTCCTCGCTCTACAAAATGGTACCTAAAGCTCGGCGAAAGACTTGAAAGCGAGGGAGTTATTAACGATCAAACAGTGTTAACATTTTTTTGGGACACCTTGTATAAATCCCTTTTCTCATTTTATCTGCGACGCCTAAAATATTTGGAGGATTCTTCGCCTAGGAACTGAATTTTGTGATAGTGTAATAGGTTGCCACTTTCTATAGTGTTTTCCTTTGAACATCGATTGGGAAACTTGAAGCAAAGGCCCAAAAAAATTGTATATAAAAGTCGTTAGCATCATATGGCAGGATTATATGTAGTAAGAAGCAAAACAGCTTAACAAATAACCTTTGATTCAACTGGATTGGCGGCTGGAAGGCGGGGCTTCATGACCCAATTACGACCGCTCGCGCCCGCGACGCACTCTAAGTCTCTTTCGCGCGCATACTCTCTGATCATTCTCTAGCCTTAACTAAGTCATGATGCCCCGCCTTCCAACCGCCAATCTAGTTGAATCAAAGGGTAACCTGCAAAACTTACTAACGTCATGCTTGTCTTAACTTACTCTTTGTCAAGAAAATTATGGTTTCGCAACGAGATTTACTGCTAATAGTAGATAATTATTTCTTAAAACATCTGTAATCATTTTTTTGCTTGCGTAATATACTGCAGCTTTTCCTAAAATTATTCATTCTAACTTCTGTTTCGCCATAGTTTCGCGTTTACCATATTTTCGAAGCTAAAATGATGCATTCACATATGGCCATAGTGGGTTTCCTCTACCATTGCTCAAATAGAAGAAGGGCCATGTCAAGTGGTAATATATATGATGTAGTGAGTTTTGATTTCTAGTAAAATTCCGTATTACTACTAAAATCAGAAAATCATACATGCAAATATTGAATAACATTTAATGGGTCTATTTTTAGCACGAAATTACTGTAAAAATTAATGATGATGATTGATTTTTGTAATTTGAAACTTTGTGGGATGTAGAATTGCTGAGGTGACTATAACACTAATGTAGAAACAAATTTTTTCACAAATAGAATAAAGAATATTGTTGATTAATCTGTCTTTATTGCAGAAGAAGAAAGCGTTCCTTGGCGGCGACATCTCACATTTCCACCGCAGTCTCTCGCCAAATAGGTAAGTGTGCTAAATAGCTTTTATATACAATACTGAATACAATAGAAATTTTAACAAGTGACAAGAAGTGTGAACGAAGATAATAAAGCTAAATTTGAAGTAATGTCATCGAAAGTTGAATATACTTGCAGTCAAAACAAAATCAATGCCAGTTCAACTTTTAATAATTTCACTTGCAGCAATGATTATAAGTGTCTAGAAAAGTATCACACGCTCAGTTCTTTTAAAGCATTTTCGCTCCATATTATATATAAAGCTGAATGTCTGTTTGTATGTATGTCTGTATGTCTGTCTGTGTGTACGTATGTTCCGAATAGAAAATTCCATTTCTGAACCGATCGGGACCAAACTTGGCACACATACACTTCGGGCCCCGGCGGGTGTCATAGGCTACTTTTCGTATCGATCGCTATCGATTTTATCCCACGGGGTGATCAGCATGCTCACTTACCCCCCTGTGCCAACTCCCAGCCCCGTAGCTCAAATTTTGCAAAAAATCGATAAAATCGATAAACTAATATTGTATTCGTAATCGGCATGCTCGATTACATCCCTCTGCCAACTCCCAGCCCCTAGCTCAAATTTTGCAAAAAAATCGATAAAATCGACATCGATCGATAACGAAAAGTGGACTGTGACACCCGCCGGGGCCCGAAGGGTATGTGTGCTAAGTTTGGTCCGGATCGGTTAAGAAATGGAATTTTCTATTCGGAACATACGGCGGAGCCGGGTAAGCCAGCTAGTATTACATATAAAGGCTTTTTGAGCTCTTTCAGCAAGGCGTCCCTAGATCTAGGGACCACTAAACCAAGGAGAATGGGATTTTTTGTTAAAAGACGCTGCAATCGGTTTCTATAAAGAGCAGGGCTCGGCACGAGGTGGCTAGTTGAAAATGCAAAAAACGAAGTTCCCCTTGAGTTTTGCGAATTTTTATGAACTTTGATCCTAGATCATATTCCCTGAAAAATCCCCAAAAAACGAAACGTTGACTAAAAAAAGTTGCAATTCTCCACTTTTTTAGCCACAAAAACGAAACCGCCTCTGCTTTTTGCCCCAAAAACGATATCCAGCTTGCTTGTAAGCCACTTGTGCCGAGCCCTGATAAAGAGTCTAAATTTGCGTGTTTATTTTTTGAACTTTTACAATTTCTTCATCACTAAAAATTGAATCAGCTTACCGTTCTTTTGCCGGATATACTACCTAAAGTCTCTTCATAATGTATAGAGCAAATGTTCTGTAGCTACGCATAAGATTTTTATTTACGACTAAGAAAAATAGCAAAGTTCAAATGTGCGTAGGAATTTTTCATTCCGAGAATTGTGGGAAGCTTTAACCTAATAATTTGTCGCACAGCTTCTCACAAACCTTGTGCATTTTTTCAAAAATTCCCGCATCATGGATTAAAAGCGTGGACAGTTAGTTATCATGACAGCACATTCTTTCAGAATTGACTCACTTCTACGATAATGGGGATCAGATGAAAATCTGAAAAGAAGGGCCTTCAAATATACAAAGTTTCTTTATGTAATACCACTTCCCAGTACTATGAGAGGTATAAAAAGCTGCAGTGATTGTATTCTGGCCTGATAAAAAAGTTAAAGAAAGCGCAAAGAATTGCTTCTTTTGATCTGATGGACTCTAAGCTTGGCGACCACTATGAAAAATATAAACACATCAAATCTAGATCGGAAGTATTTGTAGGAATTTTCCAAACACCCTCAGGAGCAACACGCTTTATATAAAGCAACGTCATAATTTGACTCCACCTTAGTCTAAGATCAAAATTTCTATAACCTTGTTTGTAACCAAATATTAGCAAAAACGGAAAGAATAGACGTTCATTGTTTTCGTACTATTTGTACTATTCGAAAAATATCGTTTACAGTTTGAATCTGATTAATGTAACCTTCTTCCTTTAACGAAAAAATTACGAACGTCATCACTATTAGACGCCCTTGTAAAAAGCACTAGTGAAAAACTCTCTCGTTTGCAATCCACCGATTTGTACCGCAGTAATTTGCAAGAGTTATTTTTGCAATTATTTGTACATCTAGTGTAGTTGGGGAAACACACGGAACTACGCGTCATTGCGGACTCTCTGCGTCTCTCTAAATACGCGCACTCTCATCACACTCATTGTCTGGCGTCTCTTCTAAAGATAAACTCTCTGCGCAATGATCTTTCGCCTGCTTTGCTGTCACCACCTACATATCTGATTATGCAGTGTTTTATACGTTACTAAGTTCCCTCCTAGGTATTTCTTTTGTTCAAGAATTACGTCAGAAGTTTGAGAACTTTGAGAATCACAACTTGTCACATTCTCTCACAGAGTACACTTTGAGTACAAGTAGTGAGATAATTACACCAAATGATTTCTCATAATCGTTCCAGCGGAAACATATTGTGCTCTGTGGCTAAATTTAGTGTCATTCTCAGGTTGTGCTTTGTTTTGTGTGGGTTTCCCACGACGACAACATTCCACTTTTGAGCAGTATCATTTTGTAGACATTTTTATGCGATTGCTGAAGTAGATGTAGAAAATAGCGGAGAACAAACTTTTACTTCAAAAATATTGATATGCCAAAATGGATCTTGTCCTGTGAATTGTTGCATTAAAAAAATGATACTACCGCTCTTTTCCAAAAGTTTTTTGTTTAGAATTGGCAAGACCACTCCATAAGAATTTAATATCTTTTTCTGTTGAATTTCCTGAAAACGCAATATTTAGCCTCCGTTAAAACGTATTTTGACTTTCAAAATTCTTCTATTAATAGGAGAACATACTGAGCATTAATATGGCTTCTGCACCGCAGTAAGTTTTTTTTTTCAAATTTTTGCAGGCTTTGTGCCCTTATGCTCAGAGACTAATGAATATTGAAACCTTTTTGAAAAATTTTCGCTTTTTCAAACAGCACTCGAAACCTCTTTTCTTTGATAGGAATGATTTCCCCAAGCATCACGGACTTTCGCGAAAAATATGAATGTTCTTAACGCAAGGTTTGCACAAACCGTTTGTTACCCTGTAACAACGGACCAATATGAAAATTTTAAAATTTTGGGAGAGGGATATGCAAGGCGAAGTAAATGAATTGTTTTAGCACTTTCTTAGAAGCTGTTTAAAGGTTTCAAAAGGCAGACTCAGCTGCTGAAAGAACCAAGAAATACATTTTCAATTCGAAGTAACCCTACCTATATTTATTTATTAGCTGCAGTCAAAAAACAAAGAACTTTCTACAAGCGTCTAATGGGTAACTCGACACTCAGTTTGCCTACTAAACAAGCAAAAATGGGAAAAATTTCTCGCACTCTGAAATTTTTTCCATTTTAGATACCTTCACTTGCGAGCAAAATTAACCTTGTAGACATTGTAACGAATTTAAAATTGAAAATAAAAACACTAAGAAAAATCAAATTATGAAGTATATGGCACCGATGTTGCTTGCTACATCCTATTTTAATTTTATCGATTTATTTTCCAATAATTTTTCGTAATTTTTGATTACCGCATGTCTCGCGCCATTTTTTTCTTCAAAAAATATTCTTTACGAAATAAATGTAGTGTTCAGGCTTTGCTCAGAATTTTTCTTTTAGTGTTTTTGAGAATTTTTGCAATTTATTCTAATTCTTTTTGCAAAGTCAGAAGATAGCAAAGACTGAAGTCAGCGAATTTATCAGAAGGCGACGAAATTCCTGTTTCAAAACGCCTTTTTATACTTTTCAACTGGAGCCTTGATGATGATCTCGTCGTTATATCAAGATGTAGAGATTATTAGCTTGTTCATTATGTCTGAACTTTTTCTTGGAAGCCCTGTAGGCCACAAGGTTTTTATTCGCTAGCAATCCAGAAAAACTACTACGCGGCATGCGACAGGTTTAAGCAGCACTGGCGCAAATGTTTGAAGAGCTCAAATTGAATTTTTTCAAACTTATTCATTTGCAGTCTTTGAAGCAAGCAGTTTCGTTCTCCTATCTTTTCTCAAACTTCAGCTCACTTTAGTAACTTAAAATATCTGTTTCATTTTAGCTCGTGTTCAGCTGACTCTCAATAATGTTTCTTTCATCTCAGCCCAGCTGATATTAGGTTGTCCCGAAAGTTTTGTCCATTTTTTTAAACCATTAAAAAACCATGCACAATAAAGACCTGAATGGGTTTCAGCATGCATTCGATGCAGCTTTTCCTTCTCTTTCTGATGGATACATTTTCGAGCCACAATCCTGTATCCTTTTTTTATAATTGCCAAAAATCTCCACCCGTCAAGTTTATCTCCGTCTGAAAGTTCCGGAAGAAGTTACATGAACCAAACAGAGCAATTCTCGATCTAGAAGGGAATATTTTTAGATTCTTCTAACCTGTTTTTTTGGCTTCAAAAAATTATTTCTTTGGAAGTTTTGATTTCTGGCGAAGTCATGAAACATGCAACTGCACAAAATGAAAGCTTGTGAAGTTTCTGCGAACTGAGACATGATTCTTATTGAACATTATCTTATTTATTTATGCAACATAATCAAATTTGATTTGCTTTGAAAAGGCAGGTTTTTGGAATTTTCGGTGCTTTTATGCGGTAAACGCAATCAAAAAGCCGCGGTTTTTATCAAATAAAGAACGGATTTGGTAAACGTGGTCCTTATAATCTAAAATGGGTACAATGTAGCTAAAGGTTTGCTTTCTACATAACTGCTCAAAAAGCATGTCGATAACATTGCAAAGACAGAGTGGATCAGTGAGTGAATATAGCTGTAAGAAAGAGGATAAAAGTTTGAGTCAAATGGTGCCTAAGTCGTCCAAAGATTGGTGTTTTCTGGTTTTTAGTGAGCGATGGAAATACGGACAAAACTTTCGGGACAATCTAATCGCACCAATTTTGTTTGCGGCATCCTGAAGTAATTTTTGGTACAATTCTCCAGTAATTTTTGTAATTTTAGATCATCGCATGTTCTTGCGCCATTTTCGACCCAAAAGGAAATTTACAAATAAGAAACCAACTTTGCTTGAAGTTCTT